GGCCATCCGCTCCACCCGTGTGTTCTCTGGCGCAAGGGCGTTGAGGTTTAGGCCGCGCAAAAGGGTATTAAATCACGTGGTCACTTTATGATTGGTCCTCCCATCGCGTGTAAACTGATCAACGGCTAATTCTACAACAGGGGATGAACTTTACAGGCGACACCAACCGGCGCGTTAGAGTGCTCATTAGTGCCTGAGTGGTAGTACATATTGGCGTTGCCCTACACGTACACGATTGCACTTAGCAAACCAATAGGCAGACCGATGGGCTAGATTGCTATCGATGCCTATAGAATGTACAGTCCGTCCAAATTGGGATAAGAAACTAGGTTGCCTGTATGCATGAACCTCAGAAATTGAATTCGCAAAGAGTCATGGAAGCCCTCGCCTGAATTTGCTTAGGGTGTTAGTATTCATGAGAATGGCCATTTTCATGAACTGTACTGAACGCATTACGTCAGATGACAATCTGTTGATGGTTGCCAACGCCTCAGACATAAAAACGTGAAAGATAAGATAGAAGATGAACTAAAATTAATAAAAGCAACGAAAAATGCAAGTTGCAAGGAGAGAAATTGAAATGCGGAACGTTTCGCCAACCAATGGGAGTCTGTAATTATGTAATTATCTTAACGTCAGGCAAAAGAGCATATTGTGCAGGCTTTTTATAGAATAAACAACTGGTGAACACGCTTAGCCACTACCCATACAGCGCACTGGTCGTTCTCCAAGAAAAATTTCGATGTGTAAGGATACTCACAAAATATCATTCACGTCTCTTAAATTTGAAGGCATCCTGTAAATGAATATTAGGGCCAGATAAATTAGCAGGTCATGTTAAATGCGGTCGGTCTTGCTGCACGCAAAGTTGAAACTTAGAAAAATTCCATTTACTGGTAGTTGTTGACTGCAAAAGCGAGAAATGCAAACAAATAGTGGAGCATTTATGGCGCTATTTTTTGGCTCTAAAATTCGTCCGCTTACAGATGCCACATCTTCTACAATCATATATATATAACGTGACATCGACTAAACGGGAGTTTTCTTTTCGCAAATTTTTTTATAGAGAAATAAATGCGAAAAGTATTTTCGTTACTGAGCAACCTGACGCCTCCAGAATATCCAACATGCTTAAATAAAGAAAAATGCAATCAATGGTTTCGAGGTCAGCCGATGTTAACGGAGATCCGAAACGAACAAATATTAACTAGCATGTAAAAGTCACCCCTCACTGTCATATATATATATATAAAGACCAGGAAAAAACAAAGGCGGGTGTTTGATTAGAAACTTCTTTAGTTCGATTCTGGAAAAGTCCGTACTGAGACCCACGGCAACACAACTCTTAAAGAGCTGGTGAGGAAACTGACTATAAAGGATTAAGACAGCCCGAACAGTAAAACCAATTAGAAAAATGAGTAGGACAGACGGGATAAAAACTGCAGGTAATCTTGAATGTATACCTGTTCGCGGTCATCAAGAACTTCGGAAACATGATCGTCCCAGTCAAGAATACCGCCATCACGAGCAAGAGAGAGGTGGTGGACAAGTAAGCGATCCAGATCCGAGGCCTTAAAAAATAACATGAGAATTTGTACTTAATAGAAAAAAAACCTAGGAGTGATTTTACTTATGCAATTATTTTTCCGGATCGGAGAACACAACCGGGTAAGAAGCAAGTAATTTAAGATAATAATAATAATGGCATACAAGTAAACCTCCTTAAAATAAAAATCAGGAAACAATTTTAGTCTGGGATCGGGGTTACATGCTAGGAATAGAACTCAGGAGACAGACAACGATCTTAAAGGAAGTACAGCACATGCAATAGGGTTGACTGAAACGTTGACTAAGTATAAAATATTTTTGGGTAAGATAAGCATTTCAATTACGTGACTCCAACCTCCAAAAATAATAGTTTTCAGTTGAAAGGGTCCAATAGGGGTCACACCGAGGATTATTCATTTTAGCCTGACCGACATTATGAGCGTGATCGATGTACGCCGTCAGTTGGTAACCTCACAAGCCACAAGTTTTGAGGTCTCGTTAAAGGTTCAGATAAATTCAACTTGATTGACGAGAAAATACTTTACTTGCAATGAAGATGAATTCCACAATATCAGTCTCTGCCATGTGCCACTTCGCTGTCCGAACCGCCTAACCAACCGTTGAAGAGAGTTGATGCAGTGACCAATGTACAATTAATTCCCCGCCCTCGGCATGTCACACGCATGCACGGCAGCCCTTTAGGGCTCACTCAAGCGCAACGCGAGCCGATAAATGCGTGTCATGAGACACTCTGGCCCCATTTTGGTCCAGCACACTTGTAGTGTAGACACTTCGGGGTTGTGAGCATTTGCAAAATGTGGTGGACTGTGTACTGTCTAAAATCTGATTATTTGCTGTGGTTCTTTTATGTACGCGTACGCGGCGCCCAGTGTCTGAATGCCCTTTGAGAGTATGGGCAGGATGGTATGCGTGATGGGTGCAGATCTGAGCTCCAAACCTGGTTCACCGACTCCGTTGCGAAGGCTGTGCCGGTGATCGATCGGGCCAGCGTATTATCGGAATGTACGGTCACAACGCAGATAAGTTGGTTCTATATCTATGGGGTCGATGGACATAATTGAAGTTGTCCGTTGTGTCCAGGCAAGGATCTGGTAACGCATGGTGCGCCAATGTTCAACAACTGGCAATCGAACCTGAAGCGCAGTGATACAGGAATGATAAGGAAAAGGGTTGTGTCTCGTTATGACGTTGGTAGTTGTGAAGCTATATGGCGTCGGATGTGCAATTTCCCCGCTACGATGACAGTGGATTTGAAAGTTTTAGACGAAATTCCAATCCATTCCCTGAATGTCAATTGCCGAGGTGGGAAAGTGGCAGACTCTGAGCGCTTGCGATGTTTTAAGAACAGCACGCCGGATTGCCGACCCCATGTGCGGCTTTCTTATGTCACGTGACTAATTTGTGGATCCTTCGGCTATCGAGGATTAGAGGCTTTCATTGACCTTATCTGTGGAATCCATATAGCGACGTCAATGTACAACAGACTACTGGGTAGGCAGAGGGCTGGACAGCGCGCATTAAAAGGGTACGCCTCGCAACACTGACCGACCTTTCCACGGGCCTGGTGCACAAGGTTGTTTCTTCCCCATCCGGCACCCAACCCTCATCTGTGGCTCCAAGCAACAGTGCTGCCCACCGCGGTCACACCATTGTAGCCATTTCGTTCGTTGACCACAACGGGGTGAGATTATCTGATTAATGTCTCCCCACACCTCGTATTCCCTTCTCTAACCCCTACCTCTCCGCAATAACAACAATGTTCTACACAGCAATCGGCAACAGGTACATACGCGACCCAGACTAATTCAAACTGCCTTTCTGCCAAATCAAAGTCGTGATCTATAGATGCATATGACAACCATGTTGGATGGCGTAGCAGCCGCAGTTAGGAAAGGACTACTTACGTCTTAGTTATGGATTGGTCAAAGAAGTTAACCTACATATATGTATTTCGGTAAATTACGTCGTTGACAAGCTGACCGTAGCTTAGTGATTGTGGTAGTGGTCGTCGTCGTCGTTTGCCCCCTAAACGGGTCACTCAATAGATGGGAGTTAGAACAGGATACGGCAGGCGTTATTCGGGTTGCGCCCCCATAACGAATTTCGAACATGAGGGGGGGGGCGTGTAGGCACGCGTAGGGACGGCATCGGCCGCGTCCGATCCCACCTCCAATCTTCTTGATTGTATCTTGACACTGCGTTCAGAAGGGCGAGGGAAGCGGGAGTTCGGTAGATGCAGCGCAAGTCTACTGTCACATAAAACAAATTCACGCGCAATTCATCGTCCTTGCAGACATCGTCGAAATCGACAGTCGAACCACCGGTAGTCGTCACCGTCATCGTTAGAACGTTAAGTTTGTCGTCAAAATCAGGATTGGTTAAACGAAAACGATATAACAGTAGAATATGGTACACACAGCCTACATCAGCCGCGAGCCCAACGTACATAAAGCTGTTTTCTTCCATCCTGTGTGAAATGCAGAATGCATGGAGGGATGGCAAAGGTAAAGAAATACAAGGTCACAAGCACGAGAAATTGTTTATAAAACTGCTTCGTCTTACACCTCGCGGCATCAGAAGCACCGCGCCGTTTCTCAGCTCTGATAACACTCCTCACTGATCAATCGCAGATTGAACGGCACTGAACCGAGCCCTTCAGGATTGGCCTCAACAGTCAGTTCGCGATTTCTAACGACACCATCGATCGAGTCGCCTGAGTAGAAGTGCATAATGGTCTGGAGCATCCGTCTTCCAAGAAACACTCACTACCACACCGATGCTCATAGTGCGAAAACGCCGGGATTAGACGCAAAAGTGGAGAAAGTCTGCTACCATTGCGGACCTCGACTGATAGCAAGCTTACAGTGCTGCACTTGGAGACGTGGCAGTAAGGACCAGCCCTTCAGGACTTCAAAGACGCCACAATCGTGCGTATATGCATGAGGAACTGTAGTCGGCGGATTTTGCAATCAAAAGAACCTCAACCCTTAACGGTGCCGGAAAGATCTTCATGTGCTTTCTCCCCAATCGTCTCAACAGCCACATGGAACGTGGATGCTTACAGGAAAGCTGACAGGCACTTACTATGGGAAATGCTCTGAGGGTAGCAGCTCGCACAGGATCGGTCGAAAGCTTGTTAATATCCGAAGAATAGAAACACCCACGCAAATATCAACATAATCTCATGTCACAAGAGCATGAACCTCTTCGTCTCCGGCTGGGCGAAGTTCGACTTACAAGCAACACAGGCATACCGGTGCTCTTATAACAACCAGCACCAATGGGGGAACACAATACGCCTAGAACTAACGTGAGCGGAACTCGATTCGAATCAGTGGGCAAGTACGCTTATGTAGGCAAAGTCTAAGACGAAACGGTAACGCGGATCTCCAAAGCCAAACAGACCTTCGACCGGCTAGGCACTGTCGCCTGGAACTGCCGCGAACTTCACTTTAACACGAAGCCCGAGAAATAAAGGGCAGTAGTCCTAACGAAACTACTGCAGGATACGGAGAAATGAATGGACGCTGAAGTTACTCCAGCTTAGCTGTCTACAGAATGCATTCAGCCCGAAATAACAGGATAGGAGCTCGGACACGGAGGTCCTGGAATAGACTGGAATTCTTAGTAATCACGCCATGCTAAGACATCTGCAGCTACTTGGCAGCGACCGCATCGTGACTATAAACAAAGGGCGTCTGCCCGAACAACTTTTCCTAGGAAATTTTGCCGACAGTGGGGGATAAAAGCGAAGCGACAAGTACACACCGCATGCCCCTGTCAAACATCTGTACATCAATCAAGCACTGCGGGTCCATAACCTCTCCCCCACTGTCGGTGGACGTCCTGCGCGCGGATCACCCTCGTCAGACATCTTTGCACCCAATGCAATAAGAAGGCATGTCCACCTGCTGCCTCCGAAAATGCCTCTGCCGTCATCCTCGACAAAAGCCATCCGACACCCTCGACGGTGACCCCCCCCCACCACCACCACCACCGAGTAACATAACATAACGTAACATAACAGGTTGATTATCACGAGCGAAGACATCCACCATAGGCACGCAGCGCCGGCGACTTGGGTAACCTTCATCAAGCTTCCTCTACCCGGACCCGCCAGACTCTGAGGGCGATGTAAATTCAAGAAAAAGCGAGGGTGGCTCGGATACAGTGTCTGATAAATTTAAACAGTTCCTCATTAAGTGGAACCTGTGAGCAGGTCTATATATCCTGTGTGGGGCTATTGCGAGACGGTCTTGATACTAATTACGTGAGAGTGTCATAGAGATCACATGGAGGAGGAGCCATTGTGGCCTGACTCTCGATCAGACGAAGGACTGAGCTATCTCTTCAGCTAATAAACTTCCAGGTCGTGACACTTAACACGCTGGGTGGGTGAGGGTCTCTGTGTCGGTCCCTCTCTGCATCTCCCATGCAATTCCTTACATAAATTCATAATGGAGAGGCTTGAATGCGATGGTCTAGGTGTGTCGCCACATCCTTCCCGGTTATTGCATGGTTCACATAGATCCGACGGAGGAAAAAGATAAACCCTCTAAATCTAGGCATCCACAAACCGCTGCTAAGAGAGGACTCAGATCCTGCACGTAACGGCGTCAAGCCCTGCAAATGCTTGGCTTATTGGATACGAGATCAGAAACTCATAAGATCGCTTAATATATATATTAGTTTTGGGGGTTTTGAAGTTTGAAAGACACCAATCACTATCTTTTGTTTTTTGTCAATAAAGTGTGATTTTCTCCTAGTAAACACTTAGAAAGACCTTTTATCAGTAAGATGTCCTTATGAACCTAACAACCAATTGGCAAGCACAATTAATATTTTGTTTTGTCAGAGGGAAAAAGAGAGGAATCGTTCATCTTATTACAGATTTTTCGATGGAACTATAGAAACTCTAGTATTCCCCCAACAGGCAGTTTTGAAGAATATCAACATATAGCTGCAAATTTCATCCATAAAGGTTACAGAAGATGAAACAAAAGAGAGAAGCTTAAAGTGAAGGTTGAGTAAAAGTACCGAAAGCACGCAATATTCAAAAATATACAACTACGGATGATTAATTCCTTTATGTCACGAAACTGTTTGTATGACCATATATAGCATAGCTTCGAAACCAACCATATTATCAAAAGACTTCCTGTAAATGAAAAACGATCTGCCTCGCACTGCAATAAATGAAGAAATGTGCTTAAATGGCCTTGATTGTCTAAATATAATGCAGAAAAGGGTCACTAGTCAGTAGGCATCATTCTACGGCCTAGGATACATTAAATTAAACAAAAGGTGTGCTTAAATCTGACGTAGGCTTAAAATTTACCTATGAGTGATCATATTTTCCTTACAAAAAAGACAAATTAATGCTTTTTCAACTGCACATCAAGGATCTTTGCAAATAGTTACTTCTCAGAAATAATGAAGGTATTCTCCTGTTATATATTAAGTCTTCGGCAAAATAAGCATAATCTAGAGTCGTCTCTGAATTTTTGGCACATTGGAGACCATATTTTGTCACAAAACCATGATAAATAGGTCAATGACATATTTTGAAAGTAATATAACTACTTGCTTTCAAAATCCGTTAACATAGTCTAAAGGGTCCTAAGAATTTATTCCACGAATCCAAGATGGTCTCTTGAAAAGTACACACGCTCCCTAACCTCACCAAATTCTCCTATCTTCCATTATAAAAGCAAGTCTCAACTTGATAATTTATATTTAATTTTCGGCTTTCAGCAGTTCGGTGAATCAAAAAAAACATGTGAGTTACTTCTTCGTGATTTAATATGGACAAGGATTCCGTGTAAATAATATAATTGCCCATAAGATATATGCCACTTCCGCGCTGGTGACCTAAGCGAAAACTGAAATCAGTAGAATTATGCTTTCGTTACCTTCTAGGTCAACGTAGAAAAATAATAACGCACATTTTTTGTTTTTATACGTTTTTTGACGTAGTTAAATAAACAGTTAACATGTAAGTTAAAATACTGTGCCCTTCTCCGATTAAGATACTCGTTAAGAATAATTGCTTGTTGTTCACAAAAGTATATGGCAAATAAATTGGAAATGCACTGCTAAAAAATCTGCGGGCTTCAATAGATAACATTCTTAGTACATGGGGATATCGAATTTGTTATCAAACATAGTACTGATATTCATCTCTATTTATTCTGAGATGGCAAAGATATCACTGCCGACTAGACCGTACAAGAGTCCATAACACAAAAACGGGAATAACCGAAGATAGCAGATCCATGCTAATGCTCATGGTAAAAAGCCTACATTTTGGCAAACCATACAATAGGGAAACATCGAGAAAATAGCATATCATTATTCATTATATGACCTCAAAACGTTGCTTACTTGTAAAGCCGTACGGTTATAAGGGGTAATCAGTAATGAAGCAATTGCAGTATTGGATCAAAAGAACACGTTCAGAAATAAGCACACAGTAGGGGAATATACATAAGCTTTTGGAGAACATTAGACCAAGCGAAGCCATTATGTTCACTTATACAAATTCAGAAGCTCATATGATGATATAAAACCGATGACAGCATTCGATACCTCTGTTACGCGAAGCCACCATTCAAAAAAAGCAAGCATGAATTCGTGGGTACTCCGGCATATAGTTTGAAATCAATACCAAAAACGTAATCCTGATGAGAAATTTCGCGTGTAGCCAGGATTTCCATAGAAGATCTTAATTTTAGATCAATTCGGTAAAAATAGAAATATTTTAAATAGCATAGCACTATAAGTTAATCAAGATAAGCCGAAATAATTTACTGGTATCAACAAAACGTCCAATAAAATCATTAGCGATAAATAAATAAAGCCTACAAGGTTTTTTTCATGGCTATGCGGAACTGAAAAATCTGATACGGCTTGCGATCGAGAGCAGGAAAAAAAGAAGATCAAGCGCATGGTACGTAAAGCAAGGACTAAGATTTATAGGTATCAACGAAGTAACCAAGATATCAAATCGCCGATTCACAAAATTTCTCAAAAAATGGATATCAAAATATTTCGGTAGTTACAAACACCACGGCAGAGTAGCGGGGACTACACGGAAATATCGACAGAATATTTTTAAATCGGCGATTAAAAACAATGCAATAAAAACTGACCATATTGAGCAGATGTTTTGCGCGAAAAACAGCTTTTGCAGCGAGGTCGCGAACAGAAAATTCTCCCGAACCACAAGGAACAACAATTTTCATTTCATCAAAAGCAACGGTCACTTTCATGTTACTGGTGATGCTAATATGCGAAATATCATCTCCTTTGTAAATTGAGGACAGAAAAGGTCTGTTGTC